TCACTTGCATGATACCTCTAATAGACTGCTAGTCATCTGACTGATCAGTTACAATGTTCCAATGTTTATAGTAAATAGGCTACAGAAGTAAGGTTTGGATTTTGCGGTTTTGGGGCTGTTTCTCGGTGAAATACGAGTACTTCTCTCGGTATGTACATCATATAATTAACTACCAGCCTCTCACAATATAGACTTCGAACACCTCGTTCTGGCATATAACTCTCATGACAGTAATTTATCTCACACGTCAAATATGACACGAAACGAATTCATGATCCATACATTACGATTATTTATAATAAGCAAGCTGTTTGTTTTGCCAATCATCGGTTCTGCCTGCACCTTTAGTTTTAGTTACATTCTGAATTAATGGCTTGTCCCAAATATGTCCCAAAGGCGGCTTAGCTAAGGGTTTGATTTAGGAATGAAATGTATTCCCAGGAAATGTATTCATATTCCGTGAACACTGGCTATATTAGGCACTGCCGATTACCGTGCACTCTGTATAATCAATTAGACCCATTATGAACTGATGACCTGCCCCAAATATGCTCCATAGGCTGTCAAACTACGGGTCTGATATGGGAGGCAAATGTGATGTGAACATATATTATATTTTAACGTTAGTTGAAAATACCAGAACGCCGTTGAAAGGAAACCTTTTTCAAATCAAACGACACTGTTCAAAGAAAAAGGAGCATCATTTGGTAAGTGACATTACTCATTACGAATGTTACAGATCTTTAAAATATGCACACATGTTAACGGTGAATTTTGCAATATGACAGGTTCTGTATTTATAGTATGTGTACAAATTTGTAATGCTGGACACCCGTGCTACTTACCAAGCCAACAAGTATTCGCAACGAGTTGTTTTGGGTTCATTTTTCTCCTGTTACAGGTCATCAGCCAGTCAAATACAATAGATCGCGTTCGGTTGTATTAGGCTACCCTTTTTTTTTTACTTTGCCCGTCTTAACCCCAGAGTTATGACGTTAAGACGTAGCTCTTTTGATTAATATAGGCTATTACAAGCTATCGAACCACCTTTACGTTGCCCCTTGCTAAATCTACTTGTCCTTGGAAATTTTAACAATAATAATATTACAGCAGAAACAACAACGCAGTTGACCTGGTATGGCAAATTCGATACGTTCTACCCTCTCAAAATCCGGTGTCTGTCCAATATTAAATCTATTCAATAAAAGCTATATTAATGCGGGCATGCCATTAATTCCCTGCAATGTGATTTCTTGCATACAAGTTAATTTTGCGTTTCACTATTATTTTGCCTTTGACCAATATTACGTTGCTATATAGACAAATGGGCATTTGTTGACAAAAATAAATAAATAAATAAATAAATAAAAATAAAGATAAAGTGTGTCATCAACATTCAGTGTGAACAGTCCATTATACATGTAGCACCACCTTAATAGTATACTGTAAAACTTTATAGGGGGCCTATGCATCTATATACCAAACATGAGGTTTTTCCTGGATCTAATTATTCAATAACGCTTCTTTCATTGTGTTGATTTAAAACAGTCAGAATCCCCTAAAAATATAGAATATCGGCGTTTGCATTTCTCATTGCCATGTATAATCGTGGGCAACAAAGCCTTTATCGTCATGAGTTTAACACCTTCCTATTTCGTGGTGTGATAGCAATCGGTATAAGGCATAACATTCCTGAACAAGGTTTTATCACGAAAATTGGTATAGTTGACCACAAATCAATGGGATTTAAAGCCGTTATTCTGGTTTAATTGCTTATGTTATGGAATAATGAGCCCCTATTTACAGATTTTCATTCACTTGTTTTCAAAAGGTTTAACAACACAACACTCCATCAATAAACAACAATGACAACCGTTGATTGCATTCTACGAGAGTGTCCTCCACGTTAGGCCCGGTCGTGGAAAATAACCCCAAGATCCCTGATGGAGCTTTGCTAAGTACACATACAATTAATTTATGGCCACGTAGTGAAAAATACGTTTGCCAGCGCTACAGGTACTTTCGGTTAAGTTTAATGGCACCATAGTCATTCACTTGTTTTCAATGATGTAGTAGTATGTCACCTGTATTGCCTTTAGTCATATGTTACCCGTATTTTTCTATATTCAATATTTAGCCATATGTTACCCGTATTTTTCTATATTCAATATTTCGCTAGATTTAGCAGTTAGATGTAAATAGAGACTGTGATTTAAGTCTAATTTGAGAGAGGTTTTCTTATTCAGACTAAATATTTTAGGATACGCAACTTAACATTAGAGTAATTGTTAGTTTTCTGTAGTGTTCAGGTATAATATTCTGCACTTCACCCATAATTACACAGGAATTATTATATTTCTTGGTTAAGTAGTAAACGTAGTGGGTCGGCTGCTTAAACAGATTTGGTTGAATTTTGATATCAGTCTTTGGTTGAAGACCGAAGCTAAGTGAATAAATCTCTGCTGTTGTTTATTAGAGTTCATTAGTGACTCGTTATATAATTGCACATGTATGATAGACTTGATTGGTTTGGTTTTCATTTTCTTTGTTTTAATATTTTTATTTCTCTAAGTTATTTTGTTTAATAATTTCAGTGCTTATCATTTATTTTCGTTCTTATTTAGTTTAGAAATTTAGTAAGTATTTTTAGTTCATTAATTTTGTTTATTTAAAATTTTTTTATGTTAGTTCAGTTCAACATTAAGTTAATTTTATTAATTTGTAATTTATTAAAAGACATTCGTTTCTTGTTTCTGCCATGTTCACACACAGAGTACACTCGGGTTCGTAAATAAAGTACAGTGAGAGCTGTTACATTCTTCTACCCTGTGCCCACCCCTTCCAAATCTCTGAATGCAACCGTTTTAGTTTCGTGTTAGTTATGAAATTCAACCGGACTTTACAGTATCCATTTCAGCAGCGTAGGGCTAAGGGGGGCATCTGTCTATCTAGATCTATGTGCGATTATTTAATTTAATGTTGTTACTATCCCCCCCCCCATCTTGTCATTTCGTATCATATTACATTTTATTGCCCACAGTTACTCTTTGCCCGACACTGTTTTGCTCTTTGCCAACTCTTTGCTCCATTGTATGGGGTGTATGGTGATCATTTAATGTAATGTTGTTACCATTCCAATCTAACTAGATACTCATCTTCCTGTCGTGTTAAATTTCGTGAATATCAGTCATATGGCCTTATTTCTTATTTGATTTTGAGCAAAAGCAGAGCTTCGTTGTGCTTGTGAACATTTGACTACACAAATTGATTTTAAGTGGCAATTAAGATAAGCCGGCGAATAAAGAAAAACAAATTATAAAAAACATTTGAAAAATTTTGTTCAACTTCACATATTCTAATTTGAAATCGTTCTATTATTTGAAAGACGAAAGTAAGTTTTCCATTTAAAATAATTGAAATTATTGTTTATAGAAGATGCAGGCATCGGCGATGATAGGTGTTTTGGCTTTGTGGCTGTTTACAATGACAGTTGCAGATCAGAGAGGAGAGGAGGAGTACAACATTATGCAGACTCGAATTTGGGCAATTAATTTTTTTAACCGCCGTCCGGTACAAATGGCAATTTTGCTTTAGATCTTGGCCTACATAGGTAAGAATTATTTGGGACATGTAGCCTCGATATAGTACGTCTATTTCGCCTAGTCCGTGTTTGTGACTGTAAATGAAGAACATACATCTTTTTGGGAGCCTAAAAGATTTATTCGTATATTCTTATTTTCCAGTTACAATGTATTCTCTTTTATCCTATAGAGCGTCATTCCAATGTCATGATGTATCACAAAGTCTTTCTCCTACATTACCTTATTTGGTAATGTAATAATTCCTCAGCTCTTACACAATGTCTATGATTATCCCTTTTTCCATAACTTCCATCATTACGTCATTACCAAAATGTAATCATTCTCTTATTAGGCAATGGTATGTTACTTGACCTTAGGTCGCAATTTCTATTAATACAGATTTTTCATTGTATCATCCTGAAGGAATGATAACTATACTCCCTTATTCTTTTGTTATTATTGAACAACACATGCACTTTTTAACTCTCTTACTTACACTGTTTAACCTCTTAACAAATGTATATTGTATCAGTTATGAAAGGTACAATGTATTCATTACGATCACAACTTTATATCTGTACTTTTAATCATTTTCATTACGATATACACCCTCTCTTCAAATAAATTCGTCCTTGATTTCCCTTTTTTTAATTACGATATACATTCTCTCTATCTATTTTATTTAATGTAGAAGCACAAGCATTGCATAACTAAGAAGACTATTTAAAAAAATTTAGATACTGTCATTAGACTTAATATTATGGTATAATATAGATATACATATATTTATATAGTTGACGTGAAACAATGAATATATTAGAAAGGATAAATAATAATAATCAGTCTTGCGATACGCGTAGATGCGTAATGTGTTTTCCTTATTGTCTTTAATGTGCGGCCCAAGAATACACATGCTGAACTTCATTAATAATTTTGTGTAACTTTAACATGTAATTCTCTTATTATGGCTCTGACACAATTTTATAATTAAATACACTACGTTGGATTATACGGTCATGACTCCTTTTCGAATATACAGCCATCATCACCAACATTGTGACCAGCACATTGTCCGTGGTGAAAATCTGTATTTCGTTTGTCATTATCATCCATACTCTAGTGTTTTCCTTCATGGTTGTGAATAAACACTATTTATAATACATTTACGTACATCCACAATCTATTGGCACTCAAAAACAATAATTCCTTTAAAAATTATATTTGTTGTTCCATGTCATCTTGCTTTCTAAAATAGAAATTAATTCCAATACATTAATTTGCATGCAATTTAGTCTACTGCTAATAATTTATCGTTATAATGTGTATAAAGTCTAAGGTAACAACAATATACTTACATGTATATTATTTAATAGTAATTCATATTACGCAATATGTCAATGACATTTAAATCATTAACCATTTGTCAAGGATATAACGTTTTATAATTTGAATAATTAAATAAAAGTTCATTCCATGAAAATAATGTTTATTCTGCATCATTTACAACAAAATAAACGTCTAGTCCGTGTTTGTGACTATTCTTGGGAATAAATGTCCACAGTTTCCTGTATATTCACTAATATCCAATTGGACATCTCCACTAATATTTCCATTATAAATCAGTGATAAATGTCAATTAAATATATAATTATGTCCTATTCATTCACTAAATAATTCATTGTGACAATAGTAATAATATTATTTACGTATATGTATGTACATTAAAAGTCAATGTTCATTTGTTCCAACATTTTGTCTCTGGAACAGAGTTCATTACATTTCATGTAAAATCAGTTCATTTCATTTCAATGTCATATGTCCGTCTGAATTTACACACATCATGAATGCAATTGCTATGCTCCGTAATTTTACTATGCCGTTCTTTAAAATTTGATGGTTTGAGAATATCAAGTTATATTTAAGATTCTAAGTTCGATCCGGTGCAAGTTAGTGGACAGTAACGAATGTAGGATAACATTCCAGCATGTTTAATGGCTAAAAATTTGTAAAATTCGCGAGCAATAATTTTGCTTAATTGTATTGCTTTTACGAACGAAATCGGAACACGTGCTGGTAGTTGTATTGTCTGACCAGTTACGTAGTTTGTTATCACCAAATCGTGCCAA